TGTTTGTATTTCGTATGTCCATTCCACGAAGTAGTTCCTTGCAGATTGACCACATAATTTTCCCGTCCTGGGTATGACGACAAACTACATCCGCGTCCTGTGTTAGACGATGAATTACGTCCAGCAGCAAAGCTACTGATCAAGAGATTTTTCGGAGCATGGAACGACCTCTTAATTGCTGGTGTTCCCCGGTCCGCCCTCACCCGGAGTGGTAGCACTTGTTAGGGTCCCAGCTATGGGCAAATAGTTAACACCCAAACTGGGGTCAAAATACTATGTAAGTGTAAAGATAGATTTTAATATCAGAAACACTTTGTAAAAATTATTACCAGCAATAAATTTAAAAAAAATATATTACCAGCTATACATTTTTGAAAAAAAATATTGCTAGAATTAGATTTTTGAAGAAAAATTTTGACGGAATTTTTTTTTTAAGGAAAAAAATATTACCAGCAATATATTTTCGGGGAAAAATATTACCAGAAACAAAAAAATTTGTGGGCATTAAATTACACATTGAGGTTGATATGCCATAAAACAAAACAAACCACATCAGACCAAAGAACGTAACATTCTTTTTTATGGTCACCTATATACTATAACAATACAAAAGTAATTAAAAATAAATAAATAACAATACAAACGTAATTAAAAATAAATAAATAACAATACAAAAGTAATTAAAAATAAATAAATAACAATACAAACGTAATTAAAAAAATTTTAAAAAATATTTTTTCTGGGGTTACACTTTCAAGACCTTATATTATTTTTGATGTTTCTATTGTGCCATAGTAAGCTGTTTCTAAACGGATTAAATCAATACTGGAGTCATATTCTTGACAGTATTTACCAGAGTAAGCTAAGCTTTTTTTTAGTATCTAAAAAGAAAACAATATTAATGTTAATATTTGTAAGCCAGTCTGACATACCATTTCAATTCACAAGTCAATAATTTCCTTTCTAACTTGAAGATCCATTTCAAACATCTAAGCCTTATAAATATCTAAGTGCCCATAAAGCATGTTACATTTTTATCGCGCCAAACTTAGGTGGATTTAATAAATACGCACATTCCGTAAATTCTCTTATTTACAGTACATACACCCTTGAGCAAATTAATTGAAACAAAATTAATAATTCCGTTAATATATTTTTTCCATATTTTACCAGTGAAACATGACCAACTGCACATGTTAATACTTCGTATGTTCATTGCACGTGTGATTCTCTGTAGATTGACCACAGATTATCGATTGGATTTAATTCAGGAGATTTTCTGGACCAATCTTATGTACTTTGATTTTCTCACTGGTAAGGCTTGCTAGAGTGTTTGTGCAGCGTTACAATTTTCGTACGCTTCTTTGGCGTAATGTCCATCACAGACAAGGTTCAGGGGACAACTAATCGACAGTCGAGACAATAGTGTCTGGGTATGATAAAACTCTGATGCAATCACGGATGACGCAATATTTTTCAAGGCTAAACAATTTTCATCATGCACCCCGTAAATAGATTCATATTACAGTACATCACTTCAAATGACCTAATCTGAGGAAAAAATAGAAATCGATTACACCCTGTCATTTCAGTGGGTCTAAAACTGATCCTATGGTGAAAGAAAGGAAACTAATGCGGTTGTTTCAATTAATTTGCACAAGGGTGTATCTTTCGAGTTTTGTAATTTGTCAACTTTCCGTTGACATCAGTTTTACAATAGTTAACATAATGACAAATCGCATTTGTTTTATATAAATAACATTTATCTTTTATTAAGACATAAATTGTTTTTCTTGTGTCGTAAATCATTTTCAAATGACCGTAGATTTCTTTTTTTACATTTCAATATTTAAAAAAAATAAAGATTAACGAGGAAGAAAGTTATGAATATTTAATATTTAAACGTGATTTTCCCCCACCAACCCAAGAAGTACAGAAGAAACTTAAGTAACAATCACTTGTCATTAATTTCTCTTTCAAATTCTTCATGAGAATCATTAACGAATAAATGAGTCATACTCGACTTTTTATATATAATGTGTTTTAATCTAAAGTCTTTCCATATTTGGTTTGTTTTGCTCTACGGCATATCAATCTTAATGGGTTATTTAATGCCGAAAATATTTTTATTGATGGTAATATTTTCTTTTAAAAAATATATTGCCTCTAATAATTTTTCGAAAGTATTATTGGTATTAAAACCTATTTGTATACTTCCATAGCGTATTGATCACTTTTTGTTTGTTTTTTTTTTGGGGGGGTAACTATTTGTTCATAGCTGGGAGACTGACAGATACTTCCACCCCGGGTCAGGGTCGAACTGGAAACACCAGCAATTAAGAGGTGATTCCATGCTCCTAAAAATCTCCTGAACAGAGGTCTTGCTGTTGGATGTAGTTTATCCGTTTACCCAGGATGCCTTAATGAGCCTAGTCAGATCAAGACTTTCATATGGATGCTATGCATGGTATCAAACCTGTTCAGAAATATTTAAACATTCTGCTGTATACAGCCACTTTCTCAGATCAATGGTTAAAAATGGCATTGAGCAGGTGAAACCCGAGGATCTTGGCAAAGATCATTATTCTTTGAACATTGTAGACTGAGGCTGGAGAATCACAAGACTTGCATCAAGAACTGTACTAAATGACAGAAATGACAGTGTTTTTTGGGGGGGGGTAACTATTTGCTACCACCACGAGTCAGGGTAGACATGGAAACACCAGCATTTAAGATGTTGTTCTCAAAATCTCCTGAACAGAGGCCATGCTGCCGGATGTTCTTTTATTGTCATACCCAGGACGCGGATGTAGCTTATTGCCATACGCAGAACGCGGATATAGTTTATCATCTTACCCAGGATACGGATATAGTTTATCGTCACACCCAGGACGTGGATGTAGTTTATCGTCATACCCAGGACGCGGATGTAGTTTATTTTCTTACCCCGGACACGGATGTAGTTTATCGTCTTACCCAGGATGCGGATGTAGTTTATCGTCATACCCAGGACGCGGATATAGTTTAGACGTAGATGTAGTTTATTGTTATACCCTAGACGTGCGTTTCCATGTTTCATTTAAAATTAACCTATACGAATGACATTTGAAGTGCATTGATTAATGATTAAAGCTAGTATTTATTTTATTGATACAAGAGCTACAATAATATTACGTTACATTGGCGTAGTAATTTCGTTCTTTACTGAGAACTCCTTTATCAAAGCCTTGTACCAAGAGTAAGATGAGAACTTTGAATGTGAGTTCCCTGTGAATAATTGCTTTATCACTTTCTGTCTATATTTAAGACATGAGACATTGTAATTATTTACATTATTTAAATTGTTCGGAATGTTGGCTTCATCTGTATTTTCATATTCCCGACATTTCCATCGTTGTACTCTCCGGCTTTCTTCAGGTGATTGGAATTTCGAACTGAACACCTTATTTCCTCCATTGGGGTCGACTGTTCTAGTTCTATACATCTTCCGGGTTATCTCCCTTTAATTCAACTCTTCAGTTTTTCGTTCAACACTGCATTAGCCAGGTATTTAACTCATGACTCTTTGTGCCAAATCACTGAATCCAACCAACGTTTTTATCCACTGGCTCATGGTTTATTACAATCTATGTCTTCTATATGGAAGTGCAGCATGGAAGTAATATGCAATGATGTTAAAGTAATGACAGTCTAGCTAGTGTTAGATTAGGGTATGTGGAATATCCCACTATGTGTAATATATCACTATGTGGAATATGTCACTATTTGGAATATGTCACTATTTGGAATATGTCAGTATGTGGAATATGGAAAATATCACCATGTGGAATATAAAATATATCACTATGTGTAATATGTCAATATGTGCAATATGGAATATGTCACGATGTGGAATATATCACTATTTGGAATATGTCACTATGTGGAATATGTCATTATATGGAGTATAGAATATGCCACTATGTGGAATATGTCACCACTATGTGGAATATGGAATATGGAATATATCCCTATGTGGAATATGTCATTATGTGGAATATGACAGTTTGTGGGATATGTCACTATGTGGAATATGGAATATATCACAATGGGGAATATGTCACTATGTTGTATATGGAATATGCCACTATGTGTAATATATCACTATGTGTAATATATCACTATGTGTAATATGTCACTATGTGGAATATCTCACTATGTGGAATATGGAAAATATCACCATGTGGAATATGAAATATATCACTATGTGGAATATGTCATTATGTGGAATATGTCACTATGTGGAATATGGAATATGTCACTATGTGGAATATGGAATATGTCACTATGTATAATATATCACTACGTGGAATATACATCACTATCTGGAATATGTCACTATGTGGAATATATAACTATGTGGAATATGAAACTCTGGATAGTATAAAAATACAGTAGAACGGCGATGAGACGTTGGTCTAAAGAAGAAAGAATATTTTTTCTGGGGAAATATAAAGATTTTAATGAATATTAATAGTAATATCATATTTCATTGTCGCGTCAACTGTAAATTAAGCGATTTTATAGAGGCAGTAATTGTCGAAGGGGCATGCACGGTAAAATGTGGAGGCACTGTGGTGTAATGGAGAGCGGTTCGGATTGAAGAATTGGATAGCCGAGTTCGAATTCCAGTCGGATCCATTGCATTCCTTTACGTGCATAATACTCTTGAGAATGTTATGAATCCTCTTCTTCTCTCCCACCAGCTATGGGTAAATAACAGGACAGACTGGGTTCTATAACCTAGGGTTGCAACCGGTCTAGGAGAAGGAAAAACTCTGAATTCAAATCCGCCCTGGAGAGGGTTGGGGGTCCGTTCAGCTCTCTTCCCAAGAAACACCACTTCGACTGCGGCTGCAGTACTTGGTTCACTGGATAAGAAAAAAAATTGTCGAAATCCTTGCTTGATTTGGTGTTAGTTACAAGGAAGATGGTGTCCATCTGAGAGAAACAGTGATCAAATGTTTCTCCGAAAGCTATCTCCGCTACATTTGCTTGACAGCTTTGATCTGGTTAGATTTCGTTGGTTGTTTTTGTTTAGAGGAATATCAACACCTCTATGGGATATTTAATGCCGAAATCTAAATATTTGTTACGCAATTTTATTTATTTTAATTTTGGAGATAAGAATGTTTTAGTGAGACAACCCTTACTAATTAACCCATACCTGGGGAGATGATGTCGATTCATATCTATCCCAATGGTATTTGCGCGTAAGTGAATATAAAGTACCCAACTGGAATTGAACCTCGGCTCTCCGATTGACAATACCGAGCCATTGTCCATTGCACCACCCACACCAGCAAGCTTACAGTACCTGGTATTCCCAACGGTCACCTATCTAAGTACTGGCTACACTCGACGTTGCTTCACTTCTGTGATCCTACGGTATTTCAACATGATATGGCCGTAAGGTGATCTGATTGGATGTAAATATGATCGGCCATCAAATTGCTCATTTCTAGTTCTGCAAAAGTTTTGGTTGTTTTATAAGTTTATTATTTATAATCACATTACAACCCAATATGTAATCGTATAGCTTGCCATTTTATTTTATTTTTATTTTTTTAATATTAAAGGTGATCACTCTATTAGGATAGCCAAGAAAGCATTCCAAAAGCTAAGCAGAGTACGAGAAATGGGGAAAATTTGCTAGAAACAATGAAAAGAGTACTAAACTGCTATGTGATATCTGTCCTCTTGGGTGACACTGAGTGTTGGACAATCTCCTCAAAGATAAAGAGGAGACTTCAAACAACAGAAATGTGGCGTTACAGAAGGATGCTAAGGATACCGTTGACCGAACATGATAGTAACGATGCTGTTTTGAATAAAATGGAAACAAAAAGGAAACTAATTCTTAACATCAGAAAGAGACATTTATGGCTTTAGGGTATATAATGAAAAAGGAAGCTTGGAAATTCTGATACGCACGGGACATATAGGAAGAGGAAGAGGAAGACGACTTACAAAATTGTGTAAATGGATGGCGGAATAGGGCATGGAGAAATAACAGAAAAGTTTATTAAGAGCTACAAGGGACATGAAGTTGTGGAGATCCATGATCTTCTACGTCCTGAAGGGGCACATCACATAAAGAAGAGACGATCGAAACGGAGCAGTGAGACGAAGTTTCGGCTAAAAACTTTTTTCTCTTCTTTCAACCCAACGTGGGCGCAGTGTCTGCTGGAAGAAACTGGGGAACTGACAAGAGACAACAAAAAATTGTTGCTGTTCTTTCAACACAACGTGGGCGCAGTGTCTACTGTGAGACACCGGGGAACTGGCAAGAGACAACAAAAAATTGTTGCTGTTCTTTCAACACAACGTGGGCGCAGTGTCTACTGTGAGACAAGAGACAACAAAAAATTGTTGGAACAGTGTCTAAGAGACAACAAAAAATTGTTGCTGTTCTTTCAACACAACGTGGGCGCAGTGTCTACTGTGAGACACCGTGGGGAACTGGCAGAGACAACAAAAATTGTTGCTGTTCTTTCAACACAACGTGGGCGCAGTGTCTACTGTGAGACACCTGGGAACTGGCAAGAGACAACAAAAATTGTTGCTGTTCTTTCAACACAACGTGGGCGCAGTGTCTACTGTGAGACACCTGGGAACTGGCAAGAGACAACAAAAATTGTTGCTGTTCTTTCAACACAACGTGGGCGCAGTGTCTACTGTGAGACACCTGGGAACTGGCAAGAGACAACAAAAATTGTTGCTGTTCTTTCAACACAACGTGGGCGCAGTGTCTACTGTGAGACACCGGGGAACTGGCAAGAGACAACAAAAATTGTTGCTGTTCTTTCAACACAACGTGGGCGCAGTGTCTACTGTGAGAGACACAACTGGGAACTGGCAAGAGACAACAAAAATTGTTGCTGTTCTTTCAACACAACGTGGGCGCAGTGTCTACTGTGAGACACCTGGGAACTGGCAAGAGACACCGGGGACAAAAAATTGTTGCTGTTCTTTCAAGACAACAAAAATTGTTGCTGTGGGCGCAGTGTCTACTTGGCAAGAGACAACAAAAATTGGGAACGTGGGCGCAGTGTCTACTGTGAGACAACAAGAACAAAAATTGTTGCTGTTCTTTCAACACAACGTGGGCGCAGTGTCTGAGACACGGGGTGAGACACCTGGGAACTGAGCAAGCAAGAGACAAAAAATTGTTGCTGTTCTTTCAACACAACGGGGGCGCAGTGTCTACTGGAAGAAACTGGGGAACTGGCAAGAGACAACAAAAATTGTTGCTGTTCTTTCAACACAACGTGGGCGCAGTGTCTACTGTGAGACACCGGGGCACTGGCAAGAGACAACAAAAAATTGTTGCTGTTCTTTCAACACAACGTGGGCGCAGTGTCTACTGTGAGACACCGGGGAACTGGCAAGAGACAACAAAAAATTGTTGCTGTTCTTTCAACACAACGTGGGCGCAGTGTCTACTGTGAGACACCGGGGCACTGGCAAGAGACAACAAAAAATTGTTGCTGTTCTTTCAACACAACGTGGGCGCAGTGTCTACTGTGAGACACCTGGGAACTGGCAAGAGACAACAAAAATTGTTGCTGTTCTTTCAACACAACGTGGGCGCAGTGTCTACTGTGAGACACCTGGGAACTGGCAAGAGACAACAAAAAATTGTTGCTGTTCTTTCAACACAACGTGGGCGCAGTGTCTACTGTGAGACACCGGGGAACTGGCAAGAGACAACAAAAAATTGTTGCTGTTCTTTCAACACAACGTGGGCGCAGTGTCTACTGTTCTTTCAACACAACGTGGGCGAGACACTGGGGAACTGGCAAGAGACAACAAAAATTGTTGCTGTTCTTTCAACACAACGTGGGCGCAGTGTCTACTGTGAGACACCTGGGGAACTGAGACAATTGGAGACAACAAAAATTGTTGCTGTTCTTTCAACACAACGTGGGCGCAGTGTCTACTGTGAGACACCTGGGAACTGGCAAGAGACAACAAAAAATTGTTGCTGTTCTTTTCAACACAACGTGGGCGCAGTGTCTACTGTGAGACACCTGGGAACTGGCAAGAGACAACAAAAATTGTTGCTGTTCTTTCAACACAACGTGGGCGCAGTGTCTACTGTGAGACACCTGGGAACTGGCAAGAGACAACAAAAAATTGTTGTTGTTCTTTGTCAACTGTGAGACGTGGGCGCAGAGTCAACTGTGAGACACCTGGGAACTGGCAAGAAGACAACAAAAAATTGTTGCTGTTCTTTCAACTGTGAGACACCGGGGGTGGGCGCAAGAGACAAAAAAATTGTTGTGTTCTTTACTGGGCGCAGTGTCTACTGTGAGACACCGGGGCACTGGCAAGAGACAACAAAAAAATTGTTGCTGTTCTTTCAACACAACGTGGGCGCAGTGTCTACTGTGTGGCAAGAGACACCTTTCAACACAACGTGGGGAACTGGACAAGAGACAACAAAAATTGTTGCTGTTCTTTCAACACAACGTGGGCGCAGTGTCTACTGTGAGACACCGGGGAACTGGCAAGAGACAACAAAAAATTGTTGCTGTTCTTTCAACACAACGTGGGCGCAGTGTCTGGCAAGAGACAACAAAAAACTGTTCTTTGAGACACCTGGGAACTGGCAAGAGACAACAAAAATTGTTGCTGTTCTTTTCAACACAACGTGGGCGCAGTGTCTACTGTGAGAGACACCTGGGAACTGGCAAGAGACAACAAAAAATTGTTGCTGTTCTTTCAACACAACGTGGGCGCAGTGTCTACTGTGAGACACCGGGGCACTGGCAAGAGACAACAAAAAATTGTTGCTGTTCTTTCAACACAACGTGGGCGCAGTGTCTACTGTGACAACAAAAAGACACCTGGAGAACTGGCAAGAGACAACAAAAAATTGTTGCTGTTCTTTCAACACAACGTGGGCGCAGTGTCTACTGTGAGACACCGGGGAACTGGCAAGAGACAACAAAAAATTGTTGCTGTTCTTTCAACACAACGTGGGCGCAGTGTCTACTGTGAGACACCTGGGAACTGGCAAGAGACAACAAAAAATTGTTGCTGTTCTTTCAACACAACGACAACAAAAATTGGGCGCAGTGAGACACGGGGTCTACTGGGTGAGACACCGGGGCACTGGCAAGAGACAACAAAAAATTGTTGCTGTTCTTTCAACACAACGTGAGCGCAAGTCGGGAGTGTCACTAACGGGCAGGGTGATACATTGATTGAAATTGATGGGAAAAATGGACATGGGGGAACTGAGGAAAGGATAAAATTATGAACGGCGCTCAAGTCAACAGAAGCTGGCGGTTGAAGCTGCATTTAAATTTTTGAAGATTGTACTTATCGGGGAAGCATGTAAAAGGAAATGAGTTTCACTGTCGGGAAGTGCGAGAAAATAAGCTTTTGGAGCAGAAGTAGCGGTTAGATTTAACTATTTCAACAGTAAAAGGGTGGGACTTAGATACCAATCTTGTCGCACGCTTAAATTTATGTAGTCGGGGTGCCAGGAAAACAATAAATAAACTGGACAGTAGCCATGGAAATATTTGTAGAAAAGACAGAGGGAAGCCACATGAGGTGAGGATCGATTACATTACAGATTCTTCCTTGGATTTTGTCGAGATCTTCGAGATGAACAAAGGCGCCAGAACAGATATGGCAAAAGTATTTGCTTGATTTTACTGTTTCCAATTTGTAGTTACATTTTGATGACAATTCTTTAAAGACGCCATTTTCATTTCACCCTGAGCAAAGGAATAAAAATCACTAGAATGAAAGAGGTAACTGAAAGAGGAAGCGAGAGGAAAAGAGATGGAAGATATAGAGAGAGAAAAACAGAGAGTTCAATAAAAAAAACAGGATTCAAGCATACATAAGCTGATCAGAGGTGTATTTATAATTTACAGCACCTGGGATTCCCAATCGGTCACCCTTCTAAGTATTGACCAGGCTCGACGTTGATTGATTTTGGTAATCGTACGGAAACCGGAGTTTCAACGTGATATGGCCATAACCCTGCAGAAGATAGAGTGTCATTACTTCAACCCCGTTGCATATTACTTCCACTTTACACTTCCATAACTAGCCATAGTTGCACTTTATTAATAAACATACTTCAGTGATCGTACAGGAACCGGTGTTACAGCATGATAGGGCCGTAAGCCTTCTCTGGTTCTTGCAGCGCAGACAAATCATACACTGTGGTTATGAAAATGACTATGAAGTACTAATTGACATTTAAAAATTCCCCCTAAGGTGTCAAACATGGAATGAGAGTATTTTCCTCTGTTGAATTAAATAAAGAATTGGCTTCAAAATTCAGAAAAGGTCACCGAGTACAAGAAGAGACACCTGAAGCAGTCTAAATGGTACAGTGGTCGAAACTTTGTCAGTGTAACAGCCAAGACGAGCATGTTGATTCGAATAACAAGGCGGGTGATTATAATAATTATAAGTAAAAACATCAAAGACCCTCTTTTACGTGTTTTTTAATCGTTTTCGTTATTTCTCTTCTTGAAAATCAATTATTTTGGTCGTTATTATTCTGAAACCGTTTTTATTGGACTTGCTTTTATTAGAGTCCAGAAACGTGCTCTCTGCTGATTCATCGATATCTTCGCTGAATATTAAGGAGAAGGAATTATGTCATAAGTTTGTCGTTGGCAACATCAAAGACAGAGTTAACGAGCAAAACGTGTCAGACGGTTAGCTTTGCTACTTTACATGTAAGAACTCAAACTAAACAGATAGATAGATAGATAGATAGATAGATAGATAGATAGATAGATAGATAGATATGAAATGAAATGACTAACATATTTGAAAAGATGAAAATAGATATATGGATAGAAACAGATAGATATATAGCTAGCTAGCTAGCTAGCTAGCTAGATAGATAGATAGATATGAAATGACTAACATATTTGAAAAGATAAAAGTAGATATATGGATAGAAACAGAGAGATAGATAGATAGATAGATAGATAGATAGATAATGTAATGACTAGCATATTTGAAATAATTGAAGTAGATAGAATGATAGATAGAAACAAACATAGATAGATAGATAGATAGATAGATAGATAGATATTGTTATTGACATTCTGTGATATGACATAACCCAAAATATCCATAGCAATATCAATTCCGAAGTAGGTGTATATGAAAATAAACGGTCAAAACTGTTCCGTACAATATATCGGAGAAACCTCTAGAAATTAAAGACGTATCCATCATCACAAAATGGATCTTACACATAATAATTTATTAAATGCAACAGTCATACAAGTTCAAGCGCAACCCCTATTTTAAGAATGCTTCGCATATTAAAAGAGAGAATACTCTACTTAGACGGAAACATCTTGAGAGTACTGCTTTCATGTCTTGACCAAGTATTAACCTTCTGATTTCTATTTCAAATATCTCCTTTCCAAACAAAAATACACCATTCCCAAGAAATCTTCACCTGTGTGCCATGCCCGTTTAAGACGTTGACGATCATGACGCTCCACAATTTCTTGTCTTTGTAGCTCTTGATACATTTTAACTTTTTGTTATCTCTCCTAAACCCTGATCCGCCATCCATTTACTCAAGATCTCTAAGTAGCTTATAATTTGTGTTCTTCTGTCCCGTTTGCCTTTAATCTGTCCTGTGGGTATCAGATTTTCCAAACCTCCTTCCTTCATTATGTGCCTTAGAAATTTCAACTATCTCTTCCTCGTGTTTTTTTTTTTTTTTTGTTTTCCATTTTCTTAACAACTTCGTCGTTGCGAAACATGTTCGGTGGATGATATCCACAGCATCCTTCTGTAGCACTACACTTTTGTTGCTTCAAGATTTTTTAAAACTATGCGAAAATTACATGACCAACATTTTTAAAAAATTAAAGAAAAATGGTTATATCACAACCTTGTATTATTTAAAACTAGCGATCTTCGCCACCGACTTAACCAGGTATTGAACTTAGGGCAGTGGAGAACTTGGAGAGGGGAATTAACAGGAGATAGCTGATAACTGACATCCATTAAACATGGCACATGGAACTAGAACAGTCTACCCCAGTGAGCGAAATAAAGGGTTCAGTTCGACATTTCATCTACCTGAAGAAGGCCGAAGCGTATAACGGCCAGATCGTTGTGATAAATATGGCAACAAAGATGAGGACTATAGTCCGAACAATGTAAATAGTGCACATAATACCTCATCTCAGAAATATAAGAAGATGCTTTTTATTTGTTTTCAGACCGGAATTATTATTAATTAATAATTAATAAAAATTATATATTTATTATTTTGAAAAGAGCTACACTTGTTTTAAGCTATTACTCCAAATTTTCACGCAATGGTGTAACTATCAATCCCAATGGAGCCATAAACCATCTCTTAACCGTAGTAAGAACATTTTATTTATTTTTTTATTTCTGTCACAGACTCCCTTTCAGGCACCTTAGTGTTTCTTCAATGTTCAGAATAATTAAAATTTTGTATCATGAACTACTTTAAAACAAATGAAACGAGTTTATGTGTGGTCTAGTAAGTATATATATATATAATTATTTATTCGAAAATTATAACATAAATATGTCATGAAATCACTACAAAAATAGCCATTTTATTTCAACACGTCTTGTGTCTTATCAAGTGATGGTGTTATATATATATATATATATATATATATATATATATATATATATATATATATATATTTCAACCGATAATGTCTCCTCGGTCAATGAATGAAAAAAGTTTCCTTATAAGGAAACAGTTAATATTACCATTATTATTACGAATACTGAGAGAAAGGGTATAATATCACGCGACCAACAGTCTGAACAAGGACAGTACACTCAAAGCCTTGGTGATGATGACTTTGAATTCCTTGCTAGCGTAACCATCGACGGTGTCCAAACAGCTCTGTCTGCCCACTTCCACTTGGCTAAATCGATGGACAGGTTTTCAGATTAATAACAAGCGATATCGGATAATGATATGGGCGGATTTTAAATGACGCTTACACAATGTCTTTCGTAGCCTAAGCGGGAATAAGCTGTCCATTTTTAACGGGATTTTAACGATATAAAAGTCGATTTTAAATTTAAACGGTGGGCTATTTTTTAACAACAACGACTAAAATGAACATCATATGTAACTCAAAGAGAAAATAATAATTGAAAAATATAAGTTTGCTAAAAGTTCATGGAAAATACATAGCAATTCAATTCTCCCTTAAGTCAATGGTAAACATCGTCCTCTATTATGTGAAAGCCAGACGATAATATATTACTTTAAATGTTATTTTTAGTAGATGACCATATTTAAGTAGACTCTATTTTAAACAGGATTTTATTTCGTATTCCGGTCTGATTATACGGGAAATCCTGGCAACTGATCTACCATAGAAAGCAACCCGTTCTGAGTAAATCACTCACAGCTGGGGGGAGAAGAAGAGTATTCCTACCTTTCCCAAGGGTACTAGCGCGTAAGTACTCAGCTCTCCGATTCCTCAATCCGAGCGGCTATCCATAACTCTACCGTGGACACATATATACAAATATAAATATACATATACAAACTCATACACATAGCCATATATACACAAATATATGTACACACACATCCCACACACACACACACACACACACACACACACACACACAATATATATATATATATATATATATATATATATATATATATATATATATAGCTGGGTAGCTGGTATTTATGGATACCCGTCTACTACCCGCCAGTTCCTATTACAGACGCTCGCTGAGGCATATTTCTGTTTGCTCAACACGCACAGAGCCAACTTGAAACTATACTGAGCAGACCTTAGCTACAGTTTGTCGGAGAGAGCGTGTTATCTAGTATGATCAACAATCTGAACAAGGCCTGTACTCTCAAACACTCGGTCACGATGACTTGTTACTTCGTGCTAGGAGAGATATCGACGGTCCGACAAGAGTTCCGTCTACCCAATTTCACTCACAAGTATAGTATGGTTTTCAGGCACATTCCAAAGGTTCCGCACGCTGGGATCGTCCCCCTCCAGACCGATAACATCAGGAAATCTCCTTGCAGACAAATCAACCGTGGTGAGATTCGAACCCGGATCTCATGGTCAGAAAGCGAACGTTCTAATCAATCGGCCATGCGCTCATATATACATACGTATACACATATACATATGCACATATATGCACAAATATATGTAGATATGTATATACACATACATATAAACAGCTATACAAACAATTATAGATACATATAGTGATTTTCTAAGCCCGGCTTAGATGTGGCACAAGGCCGAAAGAATGGGGCACCCAGTGAGGATCGAACTCACTACTCAGTCGTAATTGTTCTAGCCAGACAAGCTTTACTAACCATTGCACCACGTCGAGGTTCCCTAATTAGAGATACATATATATGCACATGTATGCATAGAATACAATTTCGGATTCGAAGTCCATTCAAAATGAAATATACAAATAAATAAAATAAAGAACCTATAAAGAATGATTATATAAAGTAACTTACAATACCATTATTTTATCATGCATGATATTATTACTTATATTACAAGGTAAGCAGTGAACCATGTCTACAGTTAACAGTAAGTTCATTAAAACAGACAACATGAAGACCCAATTCAGACCACAATTATTTTGGAGTTTTTGAAGTTCAATTTATCAGTGTGCTATCAGGGATGTAAAAGAGGATACATTTATAAAGCGATCCATAAGTTTGATGAAAATTAGTTAAAAGATCAATGAAACATAAGAAAGAAACCAGTACAAATCGCCATTTTTTGCTATTTACGCTGGTTTTCACTATATGGGGTGATTCAATTATAAGGTTAAATGACTGTCAAAAAAAAAACAACTTATTGTTGGCTACAATTCAGTGAATTTGCATTAGATTGAGGGAGTTTTGAGTTAAAAATTTGTGTTGAAATCGAATTTTTGTTTTTTTCGCTAAACGCGGTGGCATAGAAATAAAATGACGTATCGTT